GCCTTTCGAAGTACCTTTTTAAAGGAACCACAAGGAGGGTGGCGAGCAGCTACTTTCTACGCACTGCCAAAGCTTCATAAGAAAGTCCATGTAGCGCGCCCGATTGCCGCATCACATTCATGGGTGACAATCAATGTGAATAAATGGATGGACACAGAACTTCGTCCGCTGGTCCTACCTCCGGGATTCCCTCTCTCTGCTGAAAATGCTGGAGCAGATCGCCTTTCCAACGACAGTTCTGCTCGCGGCATATGATGTGGCTACGCTCTACCCCAACATGTTGATCGAGCGAGCCTTTAGGACGTGGAGCGGAACGTCTCGCGACGGGACGGGTCGGGTCGGGACCATTCAGCACCGTTAAAAAATGATTTGTAACGAGATTCACCGGGAATTTGGTGCACGCGCTGGCACACGCCGCAACCGTGGTGCAAATCGGTTCAAAATGTTTTCAAAACGGTTTCGAGTGGTTGAAAGCCGTCGCGACCTGTCCCGTTCCGAGGCGTTCCGCACCACGTCCTTAAAGCAAGGGTGCACTTTGGGGGGGGGGTGGACCCAAAGGTTTATCACTTGGGTTGTAGGGTTACCCAATTTGTTGAAGGGAGTTTGGTGCGAACTGGGAAGTCAGTGTGCGCGGGGTTGCGCACGTACAAACTTGCTCAGGGGTAGCGAAGGGGCTGGCGTGAGTTGGGAACTTGGACACTAACCATCAGGCACATTGTGAACCCAAACACACCGACGTCTAGTACCAACTCCCGTTACCCAAGCCAACCCCGAGTGGTAAACCAATGCAAGCACACCACTAGCTCACCGTCCCCATATGACAGCACTATGAGAGGTATAATCTAGGAAAGGCTAAGCTCATCGAAACCAGGGCTACGGCACAACGTCACTCCGAAAGCACGGTATTGTCATGCTTATCGCCCCAGTCATTTGCCATTTTGCGAAGCGCATGCGGGTCACACGTCCCGCACAGGAAGAGTTGCGCGGGATCGCCGGTGCGTAATATTCAGCAGACGAGATCCTGCGGCTAGTCTAGTGCAACCAAACGGCAACTCTGACGGCGCCGGACGATAGCATCTCCGCCGCGTTCACATCGAGAGACATCCCCGCCCCCGCGACTTGCCTTACTCCCCGCGCCACATCACGAACTACATGCCCTCGCGAAGCCGCGAGTGACACCACGTTCTGCCTGCAGTCCCAGCCCTCCGTCGCACGCCACTACGGTATCCTACCTCCCTCCCTCCCTTACTCCGCCATCCGCCGGATCTGGGGAAGTGCGTCTTCACAAACGTTATGGCATAATTCCTGTGATGCTTTTTAGGCAATCGACCAACACGTAATGCAAAGATGGGTGCGCCTCCTTCCACCACTCCGCTCTCTCCCCTCACTGCTCTCTATCCATCCCCGGCTTGAAAGTCCCGCAGGATCCTATCACAATCGTCGCAACACGGTACCCATAGCGGGAAGCTGCGAACTGACATCGCAGGATCCTACCCCGTCGGCCGCACTTTCCGCGCCGGGGTGCGACGGCGCGGAGCCGGGAGCGGACACCAAAGCCTAAAAACGCGGGCGCCACGCCAACGCTAACGACGTGCGAAACCCGCGCCACACTACGCAAAATCCGCCCTACAGCGTAACCTATCATACCCCCACATCCTATCCCTCATCCCTTTCTCTCCCTTCCTCCGCTTGGCCAGTGTCCCCCCTCTCCACGTCACTCCTCTCGGCAATATGCCTGCCTATCCCTTACTCCCCTAAGCCGGCAATACACCTCTCACCTACTCCCCTTGTATTTACTGTGCGCTTGCCCTTAACCCCACTTCACAAACGCCTACCTCTCCCTCACTCCCCTCATCTATACCTGTTTATCTCGCAAACTCCTCGGCTGTACCCCCATACTCACCCTAACTCCCCTCTCAAATACTCCTTTTTCTCCCTTACTCCACACTGCTACACCCCAACTCTCCCTCCCATACTGTCACCCGATTGACTAGCCCATTCCGACCCAGGCTCCCCTCGTCTATGCCCCAACCTCTCCCTTACTCCCCTCGGCTATACCCCATGCTCTCCACTGCCCCCCTCATATATACACCGCTTTGAGTTTCCCCTTTTCTCGGCCTCACACCCTTCCTCGCCCTATCCCTTCTCTTCCTTACACCATTCTTGCATCTTTCCCCTCTCTGCCTTACCCACTTCGATGCCTCTTCCCCATATGCCAAACACTCTTCTTCCCCCTTCCCCCAACTTCCTCGCATAGTTTCGTCTCTAGTGGGGAGATGACGGAAGGCAGAGGTTTCATTCTCTGGAATTACGACTTGATCTACGCACCGAGGAAGGAGGGGGACTGGGGATGACATGTCCCAAGAGGATGTTCGACAGCATAGCGATACAGAACGTGGGGCGGCTGGCACTGCAGAAAAATCCAGTGAAGAAGTGGCTGGCCACAGCAGCAGTGGCGATGCCTTTGGGGATGACACTATCTTTGCGCACAAGTCCCTGCTCAAGCATTGGGTAGGGGGCAGCAGGAGATAGAAAGAGATGGTACAGTTTTTTGGGAGTCTCCTTCAGCAAGCTTCCAGACCCCAAAGCACGCTGGGATCCAGAGCGAGAGCGATGGCTTTCAACCGCCACATACCTTTCAGAGGCGCCAGTCCCTTCGGCAACCAACAAGGTTCAACTTGCTTACGAGAACTGACGATGGGTGACGTGGTCTAGCGCAAACCAGATGGGGGGAGTGAGCTCAAGAGCATAGATATGCTGCACAAGGAGCTAGGCAGCAAAGAAGCGGCGAAATGGGTGCTAAACGCTTTGGCAGCGGCCCCAACGGAGTGGAGAGAAATGTTACTGAAGGATCTGTCATGCGAGGAGGTGGCGGCCGAGGTACCCATGCTCCGAACACAGGAAGAATACTCGCAGAACCCTCCTACTGGAAAGTCAGCGGCACGGAAGGCTCGAGAGTGGTGGGGCGTCTCTGCCGAGTGGACGGAGCTGGCTCTTTCAGTGTGTGTGAAGGCGCAACCTAAAAGTCAACTTCGACCCGCAGAGAGGTGTGCCGATGCGGTACAAGACACACGACACCGATGGGAGAGGCAAAGACGAAGCTACTGCAGTCGCAGCTGTGCAAGGGCGAGGAGATTGCGCCACTGAGGGAGATAAGGAGAATTTTGCCGAACTCGGCTGACACGGTGAAGGCGCAGAGGAGATGGGTGGGGCAGAGCTTGGTGATCGCGAGAGGTCATTGAGCAGAGGACTCCCTCGCCACACCTGCCCGCGCGCGAGATGTCTTACTGCGGTTTGCACTGTAGGAACCTGCAAGAGGGGGACGAGGTTGCAGTTCAGGAAGGTGACCTGCCCGCACTGCAAAGGGCCGGAGACGTCGGAGCATTGCCTGCTAGGCTGCCCAGCAATTCGGAAGTGTTGAACTTCCTGAGGCAGGGATTGGAGGTGATGTTCCGAGGAAGCAGTGGCGGGACCTGGAGGACCTGCTGTTCATGCAAAGGAGCACGAAGGAACTTCTGAGCAGGGATTGGAGGGTGATGTGTCCGAGGAAGCAGTGGCGGGACCTGGAGGGACTGCTGTTCATGCAAAGGAGCACGAAGTCTGGATTTCCGGAAAGCTCTTTCATCGCCACCACGCTTCACCAAATGTGGTTGGCGCATTGCGATGCGAATCTGCATAACACCCGCTTTCAGACAAAGAAGGTGCTGCGGCGAGTGGTGGTTAATTTGTCGCTCATGCATGGGTTTACAGCCTGGCACACGAAGTCGCTGCCAGGAACGAGGGAAGCCATTGGGGGATAGTGAGTGGGCGCACCTGAAGCTGACGAGGCAGTAGTAATGAAGAGGATTTGCAGCAAGGCTGCACCGCTGACGTGGAAGATATGTTTCAGCTCTCTCTGGGACAAACCCAAAGCTGACGCACCTACCGCCACAGGCTGGCCAGGGGGATCCGTGGTAACTGTAACCATGGGCCTCCCCGAATATGCATTTACGACTGACGATGTTCTTAACTCATTCCTGAAATGTTTTTTAAAGCATAAAAATCCATCAACCCACGATCCCCTCACTGCCTGACGCCCTGTTCAGCCTTACGCCACTCTTACTACTCCCCTTCTTCCTCCTTACAGCTATCTCCCTTACCTCCATCTTCCCCCTTACCATCTCTGCCATCCACCCTTCTTCTCCCCTTCCCCTCCCTGCCATACACCCTTGTTCTCCCTTAACCCTCTTCCTTACTCCCTCTCTACCCCCTGTCCCGCTCTGCCGGCACGTTTTTTTAACCCTCACGCCACTGTGCATCGCTCCTGTTCATTCCCCCTTCCCCAATCTTCCCATCCTCCATTTTTACCTTTCCCCCTCTGCCATCCACCCTACTTCTCTCCTATCTCTCGATGCGTTACACCCTTCATCGCGAAGGGCATGCGGGTCACCCTATTATCCCCTTACGCCACTCTGCCATAATTCCCGTCTTCTACCTTTCCACTATCTCCCAGAGCTTCTACATCCCCTTTGCCTTCATGCCATTCTCCCTTCTTATCCCCTTCCCCTCTCTGTTTTACACCCCTCTTCTGCCTTTCCCCTCTAGGCCTTATCCCATGCTTCCCCCTTGTCACTCTCTTCCCTACTCACGTCCTCCCCCTCGCCCCCTCCGCCTTACACCTTTCTTGCCCCTTCCCCTCACTGCCTTACCCCCATCTTCCACCTCTCCCCCACCTGCCTACACCTTTCTTCCCCTTCCCCTCTCGCCTTACACCCCTTTCCCCCGCATGCCACTCTGCCTCACTCCCCCACATCTTCCACCTCTCCCCTAACGCCCTAGCTTCGTATTCCCGTTACCATCTCTGCCTCTCACCCTTCTTTTCCCCTCCTCTATCTGCCTTATGCCATGCTTCCCCCCGTGGGTTCTCTCCTCCGTACACCCTGCATCCTCCTTCACCCTTTCCCTGTCTCCCTTTCACCCTTCATCCCCCTTTCAACTCGCGCTGCCCGCACCTTTCTTCCATGTACCCCCCTCATCCTTACAACCCTTCTTCCCCTTACACCCTCCATGCTCCCCCCCGTGCCCTCTCACGCTACTCTGTCCTTTGTCCCCTCACGCCTAAATCCCTTTCTCACTCTGACCACTCCCTCTCCTCCTCTCCTCTCTCTGTCCGGTATCCCCTCCCTCTTCTATTACCCCTCGCCAACACAGCGCCCTACGCGTCGGCCCATCCGCACCCCCTTCTTCTCCCACCATGCCTCCTCAGCCTTACGCCCTGCTTTCCCCTTTCCCCTCTCCTCCCTATACCCTCTTCCTTTCCCCTTCTTCTCCCACCATGCCTCCTCAGCCTTACGCCCTGCTTTCCCCCCCTTTCCCCTCTCCTCCCTATAACCCTCTTCCTTTCCCCCTTCTTCTCCCACCATGCCTCCTCAGCCTTACGCCCTGCTTTCCCCTTTCCCCTCTCCTCCCTATACCCTCTTCCTTTCCCCTTCTTCTCCCACCATGCCTCCTCAGCCTTACGCCCTGCTTCCCCTTTCCCCCCTCTCCTCCCTATACCCTCTTCCTTTCCCCTTCTTCTTCTCCCACCATGCCTCCTCAGCCTTACGCCCTGCTTTCCCCTTTCCCCTCTCCTCCCTATACCTCTTCCTTTCCCCCTTCTTCTCCCACCATGCCTCCTCAGCCTTACGCCCTGCTTTCCCCCTTTCCCCTCTCCTCCCTATACCCTCTTCCTTTCCCCCTTCTTCTCCCACCATGCCTCCTCAGCCTTACGCCCTGCTTTCCCCTTTCCCCTCTCCTCCCTATACCCTCTTCCTTTCCCCCTTCTTCTCCCACCATGCCTCCTCAGCCTTACGCCCTGCTTTCCCCTTTCCCCTCTCTCCCTATACCCCTCTTCCTTTCCCCCTTCTTCTCCCCACCATGCCCTCCTCAGCCTTACGCCCTGCTTTCCCCTTTCCCCTCTCCCCCCTATACCCTCTTCCTTTCCCCCTTCTTCTCCCACCATGCCTCCTCAGCCTTACGCCCTGCTTTCCCCTTTCCCTCTCCTCCCTATACCCTCTTCCTTTCCCCCTTCTTCTCCCACCATGCCTCCTCAGCCTTACGCCCTGCTTTGCTTTCCCCTTTCCCCTCTCCTCCCTATACCCTCTTCCTTTCCCCCTTCTTCTCCCACCATGCCTCCTCAGCCTTACGCCCTGCTTTCCCCTTTCCCCTCTCCTCCCTATACCCTCTTCCTTTCCCCCTTCTTCTCCCACATGCCTCCTCAGCCTTACGCCCCTGCTTTCCCCCTTTCCCCTCTCCTCCCTATAACCCTCTTCCTTTCCCCCTTCTTCTCCCACCATGCCTCCTCAGCCTTACGCCCTGCTTTCCCCCTTTCCCCTCTCCTCCCTATACCCTCTTCCTTTCCCCCTTCTTCTCCCACCATGCCTCCTCAGCCTTACGCCCTGCTTTCCCCTTTCCCCTCTCCTCCCTATACCCTCTTCCTTTCCCCCTTCTTCTCCCCACCATGCCTCCTCAGCCTTACGCCCTGCTTTCCCCTTTCCCCTCTCCTCCCTATACCCTCTTCCTTTCCCCCTTCTTCTCCCACCATGCCTCCTCAGCCTTACGCCCTGCTTTCCCCTTTCCCCTCTCCTCCCTATACCCTCTTCCTTTCCCCCTTCTTCTCCCACCATGCCTCCTCCTCAGCCTTACGCCCTGCTTTCCCCTTTCCCCTCTCCTCCCTATACCCTCTTCCTTTCCCCCTTCTTCTCCCACCATGCCTCCTCAGCCTTACGCCCTGCTTTCCCCTTTCCCCTCTCCTCCCTATACCCTCTTCCTTTCCCCCTTCTTCTCCCACCATGCCTCCTCAGCCTTACGCCCTGCTTTCCCCTTTCCCCTCTCCTCCCTATACCCTCTTCCTTTCCCCCTTCTTCTCCCACCATGCCTCCTCAGCCTTACGCCCTGCTTTCCCCTTTCCCCTCTCCTCCCTATACCCTCTTCCTTCCCCCTTCTTCTCCCTCCACCACCATGCCCCTCAGCCTTACGCCCTGCTTTCCCTTTCCCCTCTCCTCCCTATACCCTCTTCCTTTCCCCCTTCTTCTCCCACCATGCCTCCTCAGCCTTACGCCCTGCTTTCCCCTTTCCCCTCTCCTCCCTATACCCTCTTCCTTTCCCCCTTCTTCTCCCACCATGCCTCCTCAGCCTTACGCCCTGCTTTCCCCTTTCCCCTTTCCCCTCTCCTCCCTATACCCTCTTCCTTTCCCCCTTCTTCTCCCCACCATGCCTCCTCAGCCTTACGCCCTGCTTTCCCCTTTCCCCTCTCCTCCCTATACCCTCTTCCTTCTCCCTCCTTCTTCCCACTGTCCCGTCTCTGCCTCACACGTTTTTTTTAGCCCTTACGCCACTGTGCCTCACTCCTGTTCATTCCCCCTTCCCCAATATCCCTATCCTCCTTTTCCCTTGCCCTCTCTGCATTTCACCCTAATTCTCTCCTATCTCTCTCTGCGTTACACCTTCTTCCTCCTTACGCCTCTATGCCTTGCACCCTTTTATCGCCCTTACGCCACTCTGCCATACTCACCTTCCTCCACCTTTCCACTATCTCCCTTTCCTCCTACAACATAGGTTCCCTTACCCTCTATGCCATTCACCCTTCTTTTCCCCTTCCCCTCTCTGCCTTACACCCATCTTCCTCCGCCTTTCCCCTCTCTGCCTTATGCCATGCTTCCCCCCGTTCTCTCTCCTCCTCCTCACAACCTTCATCTGCCTAACGACACGCTGCCTTACTCTCTGCTTCCCTCTTTTCCCCCACATACATCCTCACTCTCCCTACCCCTTTCCACACTTATTCCCCCTATCCCCTCCCCTCTCTACCCATCCATCTCCACTGCCTCCCTTCTCGTTACCCGCACTCCCCTTTCTCCTCCCTTCTTCTCACACCCTTTTCCCCCTACTGCCCGCTACACTCCTTCCCACTCCTTCCCTTCCCCCCGTATCCCTCCTCTGCTCCTCTACACACCCTCCCTGCCCCTCTCTGTAACTCTCATCCTCCCTGCCATACTATTCCCCCTATCCCCTCTCGGCCTTACCCCCGATCTTCCACCGTTCCTCCCTCTCGCCCTTCACCCCTCTCCCCCCTTTTCCTCCCTTTCTACACCCTTCTTCCCCCTTTCCCGCTATCTGCCTTCCACCCTTCTTCCCCCGTTCCCTCTCTTCCTTACACCCATTTTCCCCCGTAACTTCACTCCCTGCATACTCCCTGCTTTCCCACTTCCCTCATTGTCTACACCCTTCTTCCCCCTCTCGCCTACGCAACTGCTATCACCCTGGATCTCTGTCGGAACTCCCCTCCCTGTTCTTATTCCCTCTCCAGCACAGCGCCCTACGCGTCGGCCCCTCTGCACCTCTCGCTCACAGTCTCCAATCCGCGACCGTCGACCCCTTGCATCTATCCCCATCTCATCCTTGCCTCTCTCCTCACTTCACTCTCTGCATTACTCCCCTCGCCTTCCCTGCTCTCTCTCTCACAAATGTCTCACCCTGCACACTCCCCTCGTTGCCCCACATCCACTCTTTCCTGTCCCCAATCCCACGCTCTTTCATCTCCTTACTCGTCGTGCCCCCTCTCTATCCTGTTCCAACCCTGGGTTGTCAAGTCCTATTCCCACATGTTACACTTACATGTTCATGTGGCTGTCTTATTATATGGCCCCTCTCTCTCGTGCAGTGAGACCTACCGACTGCATGATTAAGCACACCACACGATCCAAATTCCCTCTCCATGCTCGCCTCCCTTCCCCACCCTTTTCAAACCAGTCTACCACTCTCTCCTGCCACTGTGAGGGCTGGATGCAAATTTCGCACCGACAAGGGACGGGTAGTGGCACAGCTAAGCGCGTCCGAACTGGCGGGCCTGTTAGGTAAGCCATTCCGATTGTTTTCTACTGCGCCTCCAGCACCTGCTCCCTTTGAAAACATCCCCTTACAGCTAGATATCTTTTTAACCCTCGCTCATTCATCCTTGTCACTGTTTTGGGCAGGCCACGCTGTAGAGCTCTCATGCGTCGCTAGCCGGAAGGGGTGAAAATGGTTTCGCGGGATGAACTTGATGAGACCGAGGAAGAGATGCAACGGGAGAGTGCATCTACTACATTGGAAGGGACTGTGTCTACGAGCAGTGTTCCGAGCAGATCTCCGCCTAGGATCACTCGACGGGTCCGTGCTCGCTCCGGTCTGCCCCCAATCATTGTGAACCCAGCATTCTGTTGGACGATCAATGAGTTTGCTAGGCGTTTCCCAAAACAGCATGAGGTGCCAGATGGTTATCATTTCCCTTTGAAACTATTGTAGGACGTTTTGCATCCCAACGTATAGTAGAAAACGTGATACGGGTTGCTTGTGGCGCAAACCTTGATGTGGGCGTGGACGATGTGGAGGTGGAGCCGAAGAACCACCGATTTCGTTGTTACGTGGAGTATTCAGATTTGTTGGGAGATGACACCCGTGACCACGTCGTGCTTCCCTGGCTGATATACGTTGTGATTGCATCCTTGTATCCAGAGCCATTATCAGGGGGGTATTACATGCGATGTGGGTCGGATGATTTGTTGTGGTTCAACGACTATAGTCCGATGCCCGAAGTGATCGACTTTGAATGCGATGGTGTCGCGGGATTTATGCGTAGTCATTCGAGTGATAGCCAGTGAATGCACATGTGTGTTTGACACGCTTTGACTATGCTCTTATTACTTGAGAACTACCCATGTTCGGAAACAACCTCCTGCACATGCTTGGAGTGCCACAGACATCCAGAGAGTGTAGTAAGCGCACATACAAGGCAGAACATGTGTAGCCGCTGTTGCACTGTATGCCCTTAGAGTTGGACAGTGAGGTTCGGGTGCATCGTACGGTGGGAATGCGACATGGCAGTGGAAAAGCGGCGGGTTGTGAGATCTACATAACACACCAAGATGTATGAGTCATAGGCGTGTCATGGCGTCAAGGAGCACTCGATTGCCATGTGAAGACGAAGCGTCTACCATGAACGCGTGGTCACGTAAGAACGACGTGCCCATGTTTAGTGTGGTGGTTTGTCGGGATGTCGCTCCGGCGTGGCGGTCACAGAGTTCTAGCAACAAACAATCCCCACATGGTGCATACTCCTTGTCGCATAGCTGCAGTAGGGTGCAATGGGGTGCGGACGGAAGGGGTGGGAGTAAATGAGATGCGTGGGATGTAGAGGGATGCTGCACCTGCAGGTGTGTGGGGAAGGGTACGCGTGTGTAGGTGTGCATGTAAGAGGCCTTGTGCAAGTGTGTGCACATGTGCAAAGGTGTGCACTTCTGCAAGGGTGTGCACGTGTGCAAGTGTCAGCACGTGTGCCAAGGTGTGCACGTCTGCAAGTGTGTGCACGTGTGCAAGGGTGTGCACGTGTGCAATAGTGAGCAAGTGCATGCATGTGATTGCAAACACGCACACCGTGACTTCACGGGGTCAACTAATATCCCCACATCAGACGCACTGCCATAGCATTGGGTGCGCAAGCGCGTGTGGGTATGCATGTATGCACTGCTGTGCATCCGGGTGGGAGCGAGACCTGCTGCGTGCATGAATGCATGTGGGTGCAGCTTACACACGCGAAGGTGAAGTCAGGGTCGCCGTACATCTCAAGTGAATCTGAGTGCTATACGTGCACATGCATGCATGACGTGGGAAATGCGGTGTGCGAGCATGAATGCATTGCATGTAAGTGCAACCGTGCGTGAGGGTGAGACTCTGCACGCACACGATGGTGAAGCCTGGTCTGCCGTGAATCACCGCCTCTGGTGTCTCGCCCTACGTATATGTGGTGTGTGCGCGTGCGCGTGCATCCATGTAAGCGCATGAGTGCATGTGGCTGCAAACAAGCCCGCACGCAAATGTGAGGGTTTAGGATCACCGTAGCTCGACACCTCTAGCGCGTGAAGGGACGTGCCCATGCGTGCCGACAGTGCATCATCCACTGCACTGCGCGCAATATCCACCGGTGATACGCTGGTGTAGATGAGCCTGGCCATCGGTGCAGGGCAAGAGAGGGAGGGGGGGGGGGGGGGGGGGGGGGGGGAGGATTAGTGACATGCATACTTGTCTGCATTGCGGCAATGGAGGAGGGAGGGGGGGGGGGGGGGGTGGGGGGGGGGGGGGGATGGCGAGATTTGATCATGCATACTCGTCTGCATTGCGCACCAAGTCTATTAGATACACATTGGTGCACATGCGGCTGGTTGGAATTGGAAGGGGATAGATGTGTGAAAATAAGAACGAGGAATGAGTGCATTGAGCAGCATGAGGAGTACAAGTACCAAACCCTAGAATGTTGTACCCCATATGAGCTACCCCACTACAGCCTACACAGACTATAGTGCATAAGTTTGACACACCCCCATAGGCAAAGTGGGGGAGAACAAGGGGTCACAAGACCAGTCAAGCAAAGCAAGGCAAAGCAAGCTCAGGGTGGATCACAACGTCACCACACAGTCTGAGCACAAGTTCAAGGCCACAAGGCCAGTTCACATGCAAGGTTACATATATATAACGCTAAACAAGCAAGGGCAGGTATATATATGTAACAGTACAAGCAAGGTCAAGAAGTAAGCAAGTGAGGCAAGGTAGGCATGAGACCTAACAGAGTACAGAAGCGCTGATGATCACAAGGCGCGAGTGCCTTAGTGAAGATATCAGCAGTGTTGGCCTCAGAGGCCATGTAAGCAAGGAGCAGCTGACCACGCTGCTGCAGCTCACGAGCAAGGAAGTAGCGGAGAGCGATATGCTTCATTCTGTGCTCCAGTCTGTGCTCCCGACACAAGGCCAGCATGGCCTTGTTGTCTACGTACAGCACTGGAGGAGAACGAGGCGGCTCTCCCAGGTCGGTCAGCAGGTAGGTGAGCCAGCGTAACTCCTGTGCAGCCATGGCCCCTGCGTAGATCTCAGCCTCACAACTGGAGCCAAGAACAGAAGACGAGCGGGTAGACCGCCAAGAAACAGAGCCGGAGCCAAGGCTGAAGGTGTAACCCTGTGACGACCGCTGCGTAGCCTGGTCGTCAGCCCAAGAAGCGTCTGCGTGACCAGTGAGGACCACTGAACTCTGCCCTCCAAGCACAAGCCCCATGCCCGATGTACTGCACAAGTAGCGCAACACCCTCTTCGCTGCAGCCATGTGCTCTGGTCTGTGTCTCCCAGGAGCAACATAGCGTGCCAGAATGCTAAGAGGGTATGCAAGGTCAGGTCGAGTGCAGGTCATCAGGTACATGAGGCAGCCGACAAGCTCTGGGTACGGGCCACTCGACTCTAAGGACTCATCCGAAGGCAGAGCTGAGAGCGAGTGGCGTGTAGGCAGAGGAGTGGCCTGAGGCGAGGAGTACGTGAAGCCGAAGCGCTGAAGGACCTGCTGCACCATGTGTGACTGAGTCAGGGTAATGGTGCGCTGTGCTCTGTCCCGGGTGATCTGCAAGCCAAGGTAGCTGCGCAGTTCACCCAGGTCTGTGCACGTGTGTCTCTTCTGCAGCTCGGACTTCACGTAGGCAAGTCCAGCAGTGTCAGCTGTAGCAAAGACCAAGTCGTCGACGTACACGAGGATGTAGAACGGCGGCAAGGAAGAGTCGGTGCGCAGAAACAGCGACGGGTCGGCAGTAGAAGGAGCAAACCCAAGAGCCGCAAGTGTCGTCCTTAGTGTGTCGTGCCACTCACGAGGCGCCTGACGGAGACTGTAGACTGGCCGCCGGAGGCTCCACTGGGTGCCAGAAGGAAAAGTCCCAGTGAAGCCAGGTGGGCGGCGCAGCCAGATCTCCTCGTGCTGGCTGCCCTGCAAGAAAGCAGTGCTGAAGTCAAGAAAGTGCAGCTCGTAGTCTCGGTGAGCGGCTATGTGCATCAGTACCCGAAGAGTGGTCATCTTCGGGGTGGGAGAGAAGGTCTGAAAGTAGTCAACTCCCTGCCGCTGACTGAAGCCACGAGCCACGTAACGCGCCTTGAAGACAGGCGGAGAACCCGGCGGCCACTTCACCCTGAAAATCCACATGCCACTGACAATGTTCGCCCCAGGCGGGGGAACCTTCTCAACGTAGGTGCCTGTGGACTTCCAGGAAGCCATCTCTGCGTCCATGGCTGCCTGCCACTGAGAGGAGTAGGGACCCTCTATCGCCTCCGCGTAAGAGCGCGGAGTCGGGATGTCAAGTGCATCCGGGTCTCCCTTAGGGGCAAGCAGCATGGACACGAGATGAGGTTAAGTAGCAGCCAAGCACTGGAACTCCTCCTGCCTGTCCTCAAGGACGTCCGTGCCAAGAGCACACTCACCCCCGACGGACGGAGGATAGACAGACTCAGACTCAGCGACGAGACTGGCAGCGTAGTCTAGGCGACAGCGAGCAGCGAAGTCAACAAGCTCAGCAACTAGAGCAGACGCAGCAGTAGACTCAAAGGAAGAGTCAGTGACGGGCAAGGAGACGCGTGACAGTAGGACGCGCAGCACGAAGGGAGTCCAACTCAGGGTCAGGAAGGTCAGGAAGAGAGGACGCGGGAGGAGAAGGCAAAGGGGCACGCAGGGGAGCAGTGGAAGGACGCAGAGACATCCGGTGCGTGCCGGGGACAGGAGGAGGACGCTGACGCGAACCACGACCACTAGCGCGAGAAGCACTGACAGGAGACGCAGGGCGAGACGCAGGCTCACGACGCTCAGCAAGACCTCCAGTAGGACTAGTGTAGGGAGAGGGAGAAGGAAGCGGGGAGGCCGGCGGTAACTGCGACTCGGACTGGACAGGAGGCGGACATGCTAAGGGAGGAGCAGGACCAAGAGAGGACGGAAGACCAAGAACCTGCTCAAGGAGCGGAACAAAGTACAGCCGCGGCCGCGCAGCTCCACCAGTGCCAGCAGGAACAGCACCAGTACCCCCAACGGGAGCACCAGCACCAGGAGGACCCCCAGCTCCAGCAGCTCCAACTCCAGCACCCTCAGCAGCACCAGCGCCAGCAGCACCTCCAGCGCCAACACCCCCACTAGCCCCAGCTCCAGTCGGACCACCCGAAGACGCAGCAGCTCCAACTCCAAGAGCA